GGCCCCCGGGACCTCAACCAAAAGCACCATCACATCCTAAAATAACATTCAAACTTATTCCAATCATCAAAACACCTCAAACAACACCAAAACCATCAAATTACATCGAATTCAAGCCTAAGTCCTTCTAACACCTTCCGAAACACGCATTTGATCAAAAACCCAACCAAATCACCTCCGAATGACCTGAAATTTTACACACACATCCCAAATCACATAACGAAGCTACAGCAACTCTCAGAACTCCGTTCCGACCCTCGAATCAAAATCTCACCTACCAACCGGAAATCGCCAAAATACTAACTTCGCCAATTCAAGCCTAATTCTACACCAGGCCTCCAAAACCACTTCCGATCACATTCCTAAATCATATCCGAGCCCTCTAACGCATAAGTCAACATCCGGTTGACTTTTCCAAACTAAGCCTTCCTTAAAGAGACTAAGTGTCTCATTTCCTACCAAAACCTCTCCAAACCAACTCGATCACACAAGACACTGATAATGAAGCATAAAGAAGCAGAAAATGGAGAAAACGGAGCGGTAACTTATGAGATGACGGGTCGGGTCATCACACTAAGTGTTCTTAAATTTTATTGTGTGGAATTACTCTCTTTTGTTGTGTGAGAGAACTTGATTCATGAAGGAAAGGTAATGTCAGTGACCTCTATGTTAGAGTAAGTAGGTGAGTTGTGAATAATGCGTGGTACTTGTGAATCAAATCTTGAGGTCAAGATGTTACGCTTTTGTGCTTAGTCTATTTTAAATATTCTTGGTGATGAGTTAGGAGAATTGTTTAAAAAGGTGTGTCTATAAAAAGTGTAGTTTGATTGCTCGAGGACGAACAATGGCTTAAGTGTGGGGTGTTGATGATAGGCTATAATTGCGTATTTTAGTCGATTATTACACTCTAATTTACTGCACTTTAATTGAGTTTGAGCTTTAATCGCTAGTGTCTTGCACTAATTGTGTGTTTTATACCTTGTAGGAGTGATTCCGAGCTATGTAGATGTTATGGAATGAATTCAAGTGATTTGGAGCTTTGAAATCTGAGTAAAAGCTCAAGGAATTAAGCCGGGATCGTGTTCGGGGGTCGACAGATGATAGTTAGAACAAACGAAGAATCGAGTAGGCATATTGCGCGATGTCTAGTAAAATGCACATAACTTTTTGCTCAGAACTTCATTTGGGCTCTACAATATATGGTTGGAAAGATAACTCAAAGGGCTACAACTTTGATGTTTTACGTTTTTCCAAATTTCAAACAGAACAGGGTGAAAAATGCGATCGAAACCGCGACCGCGGACCTGACGCGGACTGAGGCAGTGCACTTGTTAATATGCGCGACCACTAGCGCGGCCTCTAACGCGGCCGCGCTAGTCCAGGCCTGAAAACTTGTCCTTTGTCACATTGGAGAAGGTATAATTGTTTGGGCCCAACCCTACTTGGTATATATACATGGAAAAATGGTATTTTGAGGAGATTGGACATATTTTTGACACAGATTCGACCTAAGGAGGCAGAGACACAATAGGAGCAAGGCGGGGAATTCTTCAACAAGTTTTTCCTTCCTCTTCCTATTTTTCATTGTTGGTTATGATTTTTAGTATTGTAGTTTTATATACTATTATGAATAACTAATTTGTGATCTAGGGTTATGATGGAACCCTTTGTAGGATAAATTTTTGTTATGTTTTTATATAATTGAGCCGTAGTATTTTCTCTATTTGTTCAACTATATTATTCTTGTGGTTGATTGAAGGTCCCTCAATTAGCTGTACCTATTTAATATGTATTACTCGGGAGAGAGTGCATATTTAGGTAGTTGTTGAACAACATCACTCCCGACGTATGTGAGGAATCAATAACCAAGGGTTTAAAGGTGGTACTAGGGATAACGAAATCTTGGGTGCGATCTAAGTGAGCTGTAATTAAAGCCAGCTAGCGTAACTCGGGAGAGTATGTCTAGTAAATTGTTGTAATTACTCGGGAGAGAATTACAACACGTAGAGCGCTCATGATCGGTAGAGAATACTTAGGCGAATTTATAGAAAACATAGCGGGGAGGAAGCCGACAATTGGGGAAATCATAACTCTAGACCTCCTTAATCTTGACTCCAATCCTTATCCTTGTTAATTGATAGTTTTACGGCTTTTTAGATTTGTTAGTTAATTAGATAAAAATAAATATTATAATCTTTACAATTAGAAAATTGTTTGGACTTGTGTTTCTTAGCGATATTGAACAACTACAGCTAAGCCTTAATTCTCTGTGGGATTCGACTTCGGACTTGTAAACCAGATTATATTTACAACAACCTCTTAGTCCTTTTTATAAGGCATAATTGGGCGTGATCAGGTATCAAATCAAATGATTTGATCAAATTTAAACATTCCAAAATGGGACAAATCAATAAAGCAATTATTCAATTTGCCTAAATTTGTTTGGGTTAAAACGAGTGGGTCGAAGATATGTCAAATAACGGGACCGCCCAACTATTCCTTCTTTTTCATTTTGCTTTTTCAAAACAAAAAAAAAGAAAGAAAGAAAGTGATACGTAGTGTAGTTTTCATAAATTATTAGTTTAGGTGGGGTGGTTCGTTCATTTGGATTAAATATGGTAAGAATAAATATTGTTTACCCTTAAAATTGGATAACAATTAAACTTATAATGTGGTTTTAAGGACACGTGATTTCACCTAATACCAATTGATAAATGTAAAGATTAGTAGTAAAAATTAACAATGAGATAAAGCAAACCAGTGTTGAAACGTAATTCAGCCCTCGAGCTTGAGTGCCCTCGAACTGATTGATACCGGAATAGTTAAGAAACAAACAAACTGATGAACAAGAATATAAGTCAGACAGAATGTATTGTATTGCTTTGCTATGCTTGAATGTAAGGTGCTTACAAAATGATTAGAACCCTCTTTATATTGTAGAGGAATCCTATCTATGGTACAAATCTAATTACGGAAGTAAATCCCATGATTAACCTAAACAACCGCCCTTGATTTGATCTGTTTCGAGATTTCTGCCATGATCTTCGACTAGTCACGGATATCTCGCTTTTCTGTTATTGCGCTTTGCTCGAAGTCTGCCCTATTTGGTCTCGATCGCTACTGGCCTCGATCTCGACAGGTACCTCGATTCTCGAACTTGGTACCTTGTCCTCTTGCAGGTCGGATCCACAACGGGGCCGACCTTTGATGCAACTCCCTGGTCTCGATCAAATAGTAGAATCGGGTAGGCCCAGTTTTAACCGTATACAGATAGTCCCCTCGTTTCTTGGAGTGCAATGAGAAGAAACGAATTGAGCCTTCGATTTTCTACTTTGACCTGCCATGACATCATCCTCGTGAAGTAAGCGACGGAAGTGACTGAAACGTCCTGTCGGTACAGTTTCCCAAGTCATTAATGAGCATCAGTTGGTGGTTGGCCACCAGTGCCTTTGACCGTCGCCGTGAATCCCTTAAATAGGCCCCCTCTCTCATTGATTCAATCTTTACTTTCACTTTTTCCTAATCTCTTAAGCTTTTACACCTCTTAAGTCCCTCCTTTCTTCAGAATCTCCAGGGTTTGTTGTTAATCCCCTCTCAAACACCAAGTCTTGTCGTCTCCCTCTCTCTTTAAACTCACACAAAAATGGCAAAAACGTCGAAAAATGTTCCTCAAAAGGAAAACGCTTCTTCATCGTGGCCGGCCGGCGATAAAACACCGGTGGGCGCCAAACTGTTTACCCTTAAAATTGGATAACAATTAAACTTATAATGTGGTTTTAAGGACACGTGATTTCACATAATACCAATTGATAAATGTAAAGGTTAGTAGTAAAAATTAACAATGAGGATAAAGCAAACCAGTGTTGAAATGTAATTCTGCCCTCGAACTGATCGATACCAAATAGTTAAGAAACAGACAAACTGATGAACAAGAATATAAGTCAGACAGAAAGTATTGTATTGCTTTGATATGCTTGAATTTAAGGTGCTTACAAAATGATTAGAACCCTCTTATATAGTAGAGGAATCCTATCTATGGTACAATTCTAATTACGAAAGTAAATCCCATGATTAGCCTAAACAAACGCCCTTGATTTGATCTGTTTCAAGACTTCCGCCATGATTTTCGACCAGTCACGGATATTTCGCTTTTCTGTTATTGCGCTTTGCTCGAAGTTTGCCCTATTTGGTCTCAATCACTACTGGCCTCGATCTAGACAGGCACATCGATTCTCGAACTTGGTACCTTGTCCACTTGCTTTGATCTGATCCACGGCGGGGCTGACCTTTGATGCGACTCCTTGGTCTCGATCAAATAGTAGAATCGGGTAAGCCCGATCTTAACCGTATACAAATATAATATTGAGAAACCAAAAAGACAGTAAAACTTATTTTTTAATTAGTTAGTTAGGCGGAGTTTTGTACAACAATTTTGCTCAAACAATACAATAAAGAGTACCGAACATAAAATCAATTGTGTACATATAGAGTTTTCAAAACGTTTTTCTTACTTCGCAACCAAACCACCGAATAATAAGTACTACGTAGAAATTAACTCGCAAGGATGGCCGAGTTGGTTGACCAGGAGATCCCCCGAATAGAAGGTCGCAGGTTCAAAACCCCCTGCAAGCTTTCTCGGTCAAGCTCATCTCACAAGGCTTACCTAGCGCAGTGTGGTTTGCAAGTTATTGTACATTTGTACTGAAGCGAAATTTACTCAGAGCGCAACCGAAGGATGGCGGTGACGGGTTTGCCTAGTTTTTAGAAACAAAAACTATACTACAAATATATATTAATTACATTTAGTTACTAACTGGGAACCTGACTCTCTTCTGCAATATGTCCATGGAGATGTGCACGTGTATATGAAATGTAGTTTAGTAAAACACAGTTCACCCAATGTAGACGTATTACTAGATAATATAGTAGTATATTTCGTAAAGATTTAGCTGCTTTTATCGTCGTACTCCCTTTTCCACAGCCCAGACAAGGAAACTACATTCGAGCTGAATATCAAAATACTTGATTCATGTGCCAGGTTAGAAATGCATTTTGCTGTACTTACAGAAATCAAGTTCAGAATGCTTATGTTTCATGAAATGCGAGTGCCCAATACTGGCATTTAATATCATCAAGCTATACTATAGTTAATACTAGGTGATCCAACATTTGTATTTTATTTGTTATCTCCTAAAACCTTGGATCTTTTGTTATATGAAACTACCTAGATTGCCTCTACATAGTTACAACTTCTACTATGAGGTCTTCTATCAACAATTTCTCAATTTCCTTACCTATCAGATCAATGTCATCCTTGAGTTCTAGCCAATGCATCTCTTCCACAATATTAGCGGTCGTGTCTGCATTTGCAGCATTTTCATGGCTTCTCAGCAGTTGCTGCAGCATATTCATCATCCCGTATTTCTGCCACTTCCAGTTAATACCCTCTATTGGCTTAACCCACGGGCAAGGATCCACATACTTCCTGAGAATCTCCAACAGACTGATGTTTATACGGTCAAACAGCATCTGCCTTTCATATCTCGGTCCAGTTGTTTCATCAGTGTACTTCTTCTCAAGGTTGTCGAAAATCCAGGGATCCAAAGGTGACTCCAGAGAGTGGCAAGATGTTACGAATGTGTCCGGGTCGGATGCCCTCAAGCCAGAGTTTGTGAGCACATCTAATGTGTAAGAAGTTTGCCAGCTTTGGGACCTTAAACTACACTTGTCTTCAAAGGCCTCAGCTGATGGTCCTTCAACCTCTTCATCACTTACTACTACATCAGCATAAGCCTCTGACTCCATTCTGAGGAGCTTCAGTTGCATCCGGAGCTCTGGCGAGATTACAAGTATGTGAATAAATAACTCTCAAAATACTGGGACAGAGATAATCTACTAAACTTATTAATAAGAACAAGAAGAAGACATAACAATGACAATGATGAGAATGGCAATAAGGGGCTCAAATACTAGATTTGTCATCATTCAAATGCAAAAAACTTTGACATTTCGGGAAGGAGAGTAGCAATTTCAACTGGTGAGTAGCTAAAGCATAAAAGATGCAGATTAAAAAATTCACCATCAGAGGTGTGCCCTGTCAATTGAATACAAAAGGTGTTTGATGATTTGAAATGCCTCAGAAAAGTAAGTCTGCAGTTTATAAGCATAGAGTCTTCTCCTTTTCTTATTTATTTGTTTTACTAATCTGAATGTTACGAACTATACAATTACACATGACAGATATTGGAGATTGGAAGTAGCATATTGCAAATAATTGCAATGGTCAAGAAATCAGACGTACCATTAAGTTCAGCACTGACTCTCTCAAAACATTCTGAACCAGAAGACGCATCTTCGGTAAAAGGAACCTCCAGAACTGAAAGCGGACTAGGATGATCAGCCTCCTTGGAGCTCACTGACGACTCAGGTTCAGGTTCAGGTTCAGGTGCAGGATACTCCAAAAAAACAGCTGCAGGTGGTGGTTCCGGAAGTACTGCCTAGATAACAAAAAGCTCCACAATAAGATAAAAAAAAAGACTTGAAACTCTGAAAACATAAATAGAGAAGTACTGTAAACATACAAACTAATAAATCTTTGGTGTTTTAAAGACCTAATTAACCACACTCCACAGTCTGCCCACCCTTTTGGCGCAAGCTTACTACTCTTCTGGAAACAATTAAAATGAAAAACTATCACTCATCTCGTTATAAACACCATAGAAACAAAAAGCACAGACATCCTTTTACTCCAAAGACTAATCGTCTATCTATGCCCATAGAACATAACAATAGGCCATGTTTACCCCAAATAAATGTGTTGGAGTGCTATATGATTTAATGTGCATTCAGCACGATGAACGTATGCAGTGCCTGCCATTTTGTTACACGTGCATTTGGTACATCATACATATGATACCAGCATCACAAGCTTTTCAAATTGATCCAAGCATGAAAGTTTTGCACAAACTAATAGGCAACATAGTAAATGTTTATGCAATGGACAAAGAGAAAGAGGCAACACTAATACATGCAGTTTAGAAAAGGTACGAAAGATACAAATGGTTTACAAGTAAAAGCTGATGCAAGGAAAACCATTCTACCCGCCATCCGCTCACAGTGTTAACACTTAAATAATGTCTCACAGACTAAAATGGAAGGCTGGCGTTCAATTCCTGCTAAAATGGAAGGCTGGCGTATCAATTCCTTCTAGAATAATACCATATCAATTACACCAGCTATATAGCCATGTCTGAAACATCTGGATCAAATACCACACATACAAATACCCTCCAACTTGAAATTATTCAATGTATATCTCCAATTCAAAGAGTATTTCATAAGCAATTTCTCAGCTTGTTGAAACAGAAAATCCAACAGTAAGTGACCATATACAATCAATTTGAAAATCTGCATCGTCCAAAATGGGAAACCTTAAATCAGAAGTGTTAACAGGAATCTAAGCTGTCTTCCCCAAAAAAAGTGGCTTAATTTCCCCGGACCTCCTAGGTCTTTTTAATACAAATGCACCCTTCAAGTTCTACCATAATCATGACACAAACCAATTCCCATTAGGCTTCATCTTTAGTGTTATTGAAGTGGCCGATGCACCAAATTTTTATCAGTAAATAAAAAACACCATAAAGTTGCTTTTTGAGTAGTAAAGTGTATAAAACACAGGCAGAACTTTAAGGTATCAACATTGTAGTGTGTGCAAAGCATTATATAGCACTAAATCACAATGATTGGCTAAGATAGACCAGAAACCATCCCAGTCAGCTAGTTACTGTTTCGAGCTTCTTTTGACAAAAATAGCATGTCAGTTTGAGCTTACTAAAAGACTAGTCTAGCCTAAGCTAAGAAAATGCAAAATGGAGTACTTGATTAGTCGGTTCAGTCACTTGCAAAGTGGTCACCCATGAAGTTAATCAAGGAAATTCCAGATAATATTGTTATACCTAGAAAGACTAGATATTGCAAAGTAGCCATGTCAGTTTGAGCTTACTAAAAGACTAGTCAAGCCTAAGCTAAGAAAATGCAAACTGGAGTACCTGATTAGTTAGTTCAGTCACTTGCAAAGTGGCCGTCCATGAAGTTAATCAAGGAAATTCCAGATAAAATTGTTATATCTAGAAAACAATCACATGTATTTCAACTACTTTCAAGCAATAAACATCGAAAAATTTTCAGCTTGAACATTTTATCATTTTCTAAGAGGATGTTCCTCTTTAGATAATAATTGGCAGAAAACTGATACTACCATTTATGTTCGACTATTCCCTACTTAAAAGCACTTTCCTTTTTTTGGTCGTATGCGCTTAAACAACGAAAGGTGTCCTTCATTCTATGGACATCAAAAAGGAAGTGGTCAATTGCACGTGTAATCAAATAAATCCAGAAATCATTTCCTAAAGCTACATGTAAAAAGGAGACATGAAACTTGTATCCCCCCAACTAGTATATAGTCATTGCTTAAAACTATCAGATTTCTCAGCTAACATATTCTCATAAAACACATCATCTCAATATGAAATTCTCCAGCCAGAACCCAATAAATTTTCTGTCTCAATATTACTGAATAAGGAAGATGCCACTTAGTGCTTGCCATGCTACTTCACCAAGTAGTCATTGTGGCCATTTCTGAAAGCAGTAATGTCAGAGAAATAGGACGCCAAATAAGGAAAATTCACCAAAGAACATAAACACCTACATCCTAGGAAGACTCTAAAACACAAGTACACAACTGACAGAAAATTTACTATGCAAAACTTACAGCCAAATCAAAAGCGCATCAGTTACCATATCAAAGCCAAGGCTAAGCAAGGTAACCCAACAGGTATACAGCTAGAGAGAAAGGAAGAAAAAGATATGGAAACTATGTTTAAGTGAGAAGACGTAAAACATCTACACGAGAATAAACAAACCTGTGGAACTGAAACCTCTTGGTTAAGAGGAGAAGCAATGCAACATTCTGCAGGTAGCTTTTGAAGCATCTCAATAGAATATTCTGATGACAGGGTTATACCCTCGGTTTCAGCATCATCCGAAGCATTAGTATAACGCATGTCATCTGCAGCAGGCACCTGCAAAGCTACAGGCAGCTTCTCAGATTGATTCTCTTCTAGGTTCATGTCAATTCTCTGGCTTAGCTTGCCTTTGGATGAGGAGTCACTACCAAGACGACAGGAATGAAGTTTCTTCTTGCTAGATCTAGAGTCTTTGGATAAGAATTCATCTCTCAAATTCAGCATACCGTCCAAGGACCTACTTCTGCGGTGATTTACACACTGTTCCCTATTTACGGGATCTTTGGGAATTGAGGATTGCTTATTAGGAAAACCTTCCCGTCGTCCTCTGGTTTTATGCTTTTTGCTGCCAAAAGGCGGAGAAGTTGACCTGTATCCTGATGAATCATTAATACACACATCCTTCCAACCATCTCTACTACTAATACCCAAAGGGAAATCCCATTCAGCAGTTCCTTTCCTGCCACCAAGTTCTCTGGTGGATTCTTCAACATGCACCATGGTATCACAATGATCGGGTTTGGTTCCCCCATCAGGTAAAGAAAGCATTTCACCAAGTGTACTACTCTTACCAGCCATTTCAATGTCTTGATAATATTGAGTCATCTTCCACCTCTCAGACAACCTCTTTTTTGCCTCCCTGCCCACTGATGATTCGGAAGAACCTTGAGATGAAGATTTTTTCAGATTACCCCTGCCAAATGACTTCCTACCAGACAAAGTTGTAATGTCTGACTCACCGGTCGAATCACTTTCATACACATCACAAGAACTTTCATCTCCAGCATATCCTTTAAAACCAGAACTTCTAAAATATCTATCCCCGCCATCAGAAGGCCCAAAAGAGTCCCGCATCCGCCTCGTAATTTCCTTTGCAATATCCCTTGCTTCTTTTGACTTGGGCCTTGATATCTCCAAATTCATAGATGAACTTTTCTCTTCCTCTAGTCCTGCTCCCCCAGGTGAAGCACAAGGATGTTGTGCATGCTTCCTCACGTCAGGGTGATATGGAACAGAAGTAATATCACTTTGTGTTATCCCAACGTTCGGCTTTAGAACAACAATTCTTGTTGGAAGAATGTTTTCCTCCTTTCCTTCAGAAAGAATCGGTGATGACTTTTGGGAATTATGTCCACTATGACGATGCTGTGACTGGAGTAAGAGACCATCAATGCGCTCTTTCTGCAAGTTGATGTCTTGTTTACGTGAACCGCCTCTACCAGATTTGCAGGATTTGACACTGCCTTCATATTTCACAGAATTTGATGGCTTTAATACTGCTATGTGACTGCACATAGAACTAGCAGTGTCAACTTGCAGATCCTGCAGGTGCTTCACAAACAAGGGATCTGGTCCCTGAAGATACTTTATCAATAATTCCTTATTTGATTCGAGCGCCTCAAGAGTGTCATCAAATTCTTTTGAGTTCTGAAACCTTTCATCGGTCGAAAGACGCTTTGCATCCATAAATTTCTGCTGTATAAGTGCCATATCAGGACTAGCAAATCTACCGGTTTCAGTCCATCTTGATGAATGACGACGGTTGGCAACATGCGATGCTTCCAAATCCTCATACACATCCTTGAATTCTTGATGCTCCATGGAGCTTCTTTTACTAGATTGTTCATCGAATAGCTGCCTCCTCCTCCTGGAATCTACCTGTTCATTTCTATGTTGGCAGCTGTCTGATAACCTTCTTTGTTGTCTGCCAATATGCTGCGGAGATGGCATCCCTTCAAGACCCATCAATCTGGCAACAATGCTGGGTGGCCTTCTCTTTGATTCGACTTCTTCTTTTGCCATTTCTTCTGCAAGCAACTTCTTAATTGGTGTCCCAGTTACTCGTTTGGAAGAGCTCTTCTCTAAATCAAGCATAATCTACAGGTAGAAAATATTAATGTATGTCAGCTAAACTATTAATTTATTTCAAAACTAATTAACCATGAGATATCCCACAAAAAAGCTGATATATCAATACACATTGGCTGACCATATCTCCCCTAGCAGTTCCATCACAGTAGGAACGAGAATTTAGAGCCACTTTTGGTGTAGCAATCTGTTTCTGAGCTAGTCTACTTCCTGGACATGGGATCAAGTAACAATGTCAGTACTCGCTTTGCATATCATCAATTAAAGAGAGGTAGCTGCAACTCAGATTAAACTTCAAGCTGAGTATTAAAAGAAACAGTAAAATTTCTAACATGCTCAGATAGCTATGGAAGAATAAACAAAAGCAAACCAATAGCACCATTCAAGAATGGGTTTAGGTTTTGTGCACTGACGGCATAAAAAATATTTACACGATTAGTAACATATACGGTAATTGCATGTAAATCTCTTGATAAGCATTAATTGGTACTAGTAAAAATTGTGTGCCCGTTTGGATTGGCTTATTTTATGTGCTTTTAAGCCAAAATAACTTTTAAGCCATTTTGTAGTATTTGGATAGAGTAAAAAAGTGCTTTTAAGCACTTGTTTTTAAGCTAAAATAACAAAAACAAGCCAAAAGCCAAAAGCTAGAATTCCTAACTTATGGCTTAAAAACTATATTGGCTTAAAAATCACTTAAAATAAGCCCATCCAAACGGGCTCTGTAACTAACATGCTATTATAGGTCAAAATAACTAGTGCAAAAAAAACTTTACACTGTCATATAATTTAAATATTTCAAGAATTTATGTTAGTGAACATCAAGGAACAGAGTACATTACAATAGGGTTAAGCAGAATAGCTATAAGTGAATCAACCCATCGCTTAACATAATGATAAAAAAAATTATAAGAAAAACAAAATGATGGTGTTGCCACTACATAAAGGGGCCTAATCATTCATGGAAAACATCTTACTTTAATTAAAGTAAGAACAGGAAAAAAGTAATTTGGAAGCCAAATATATTATAAAAATAAAAACTAAAGCCATACCTCACGGGAATGTACATAACAAGAGAAAAGCAATTATAGAGATAAAATACGACATCGAAGAGGAAGACAATTGAAAAGAAAAAAAAAACATTAAATGTATTATTTCATCTTTAAAAATAGAAATTTTGAAATAAAAATATCTACCGAGCGCACTAGAAAAAGAAAAAGAAAAAGGATACGAAGTAAATTGGAAAGAGAATTTAATAAAGAAAGAGTCAATTATGCCACATAATCGGTGCTTGCTTGCCAAATTAAATACTATTAAAAACATACATACATAAGACGACGAAAATCTTACTTAGGAAAAAAAATTATCATCAGAAAAAATGGAGAGATTCATTTAAACTTCTGCCGTTCAAATACACAGGAAAATTTAGAGAATGTTTACAACGGCTAAATTATCAGAGTGTAAGAGTAAATAAATAAACAAAATAAATTCCATAAATCATCTTCCTATTTTTCAGCTTTTGTTTGTCTGGTCAAACAGGCAACCAGATTTCATCCAATTCCCCGAATCCAAAGACGCATTTTCAGAAAACAATTTATTCACTGTAAATATTACTATTGTTTTTCTGTTCATCCACAAAATTTAGCTCACCAAAGCAAAATTACTAGTAATTCTAGCAAACAGTTAACTCAGAGAGAACTGAGAAATTTACCTTCCATAATTCCCGAAGCACTTCTGGACTTTCTGTGACGACTTTTCTCCATTGTTTTTCAAAAAAATATCCAGCTCGGGAGACAGCAAGAGAACAAAAAGTAAAAACAAAAAAAAAGGCTAAAAGGATTTTGAAAAGAGGAGAGAGGGAAAAAAAATTATTAGATCGTAAATCTCGGAAAAAAGCAAGCGACAACCTCGAAAATCACCACCAGCTCCATTTCAAAAACTCATCAACAAAAAAAGGAACAAAAAAACCCTAGCTCAAGCTTTCTAGATTCTTCTTCTTCGTCTCTTCTTCTTCACAGCTTCATCATTTTTGAAAAGACATTGACAAAACGCAGAGTGTGTGCGTGTGTGTGAGAGAGAGAAAGAGAAATTGTGATTAAGGGATCACATTGTAGAGAGAGAAAGGAAGGGAGAGAGTAAATACGTATAGAGAGAGAAACAGTGACAGAGAGGGAGAGGGAGAGAGGTAGACATTAATGAGGGACTTATGTATGAGTTTATTTTTGGGTGCAGAGAAACTGCGTGTGCGTGTGTGTGTGTGTGTGTGAGAGAGAGAGAGAGAGAGAGAGAATGATTTTGAAATGCAAAAGTTTTGAAATAGGGGAAAATAAGGACAAAAACGTGACACAGTGGGAGAGATACGGAGGACTCGCTATTTCCCTATCTGCGCGGGTGGAATAGAGTGTAGTGGGGTTAGTGGGACCTACGTGCTAAGTTTTGACGCCACGTCACTTGACTGGCACTATTTTTATTTTTATTTTATTTTATTAATTAATGTATTATATTGTTTTGCCATGACTTTAAGCCTGAATTTATTTGGAAAATTATTTGGCAGCACGTGTTTGGTTTTAAAATAAAAGATATTTAGTTTGTTGATTTTTTTGGTTAATTACTAACCAAATTTTGGTTTGGGCTTAGGAAAATTGTATTACGATTCTTCATTTTTTTCTTATGTTTAATATTTCTTAAATGTTTGATTATTTTGGAAAAGAATTCAAGAAATAAAGATGTTTTTTAAAATTTTAATCTATTATTGAATTATATGAAAATGTTTATTTTAAAGTTATAGTGATAAAAAGGGAGTAAAGTTGCGAATCTTTGAGTGTGTTTGGTACGAAAAAATTACTTATTAAGAAAAATATTTATATTTATTTTTTGGTGTTTTATTAGGTATCAAAAAATATTAAAAAAAATAATTTAGGCAAATAATATATTAGACAAAATGGGTAACGTAAGAGGGTGGGGATAGGGGTGAAGGGCAGCGGTGAGAAGATTGAGAAAAAGTTTTAGAAAATATTTCTCAAACACGCCCTTTGCTTACACCTTACAACTTACAAAATATGGTAGGAGAAATAACAAATAACCACAAATTTAGAGAAATATGGCTAAATGTGTTCCTTTATTATTCAAAAATGTTTATATTTACCCTTTCCAAAGTTTAAATAATTTTCTTATGTGACATATCACGCGAAAATTTATATCTATATATTATTAAAAGGAAGGAAGTTTGGCATGGAATTGTGACAAGTGGCGAAATAAGAAAATGACATGTGTTAGTTTTTAGGACAAAAAGTAGTTATTAGGAGTAATAATTAGTTATTAGTTGATTTTTTTTATCTATCTATTTATTTATATATAAAAGGATAAGCAAATCCATAATATTATGCCAAGTGTCATCACAAAATATTGACATGTGTCATGTTTTTAGACAAAACTCCAATAAATTTGGATATTAAAAAAAATCAAAAAAAAATTACGAAATTTTAAAGAACTAACCAATTCAGTTATTCAATCATGGAGTCCCACTTTTATGAGCACATCTTTTGTAAAACTGAAAAGTTAAAAAAAAAAAAATTACTCCAATTCCAAAAAATGGACCCACGTTTTTTCATAAGTTTTTTTGTTTAATTTGTTTTAAACCTAAAAATTCGACAATTTTTTTACATTGAAATAGTAATAAACAAAAGAAAAAAAATGCTCCACGACCGTCTATTCAAGAAAATGGAGTCCCACATTTTTTTATTAGTTTTTTATTTAATTTATTAGAAATAGGAAGAAAGGAAAAAAACCACTCCACATGGTCTTCCCAAACGTGGGCATCAAAACCTAACTCCACCAGCTGTCTCCTAATGTCCCAAACGTCTCTTCCTACTTTTATTTTATTTTTCATTCCTTTTTTATACAGAACTTTACAAATATGGCTATAACACTTCATGAAATCAGTCAAATTTTAAGCAATTCGATGCAATGGAATATGTAAGTGAGAGTTGTTCTAATGTGAAAAATTCCGGATCGTTTCAAGCCTCATATACCATATTTCATAGAGTTAATTTTGCAAGATGAAAAGGTAACATATTCAACTTTCATGTAGTTATTAAGTAAATCCTCTTCTCTGCCGTTTGATTTCATAAATTTTTCTTATTTTCAAATACATGAAGATGTACTATTGAAACTATTATATATATTACCTGTTTTGCTCTTTCATGTTAATAATATTCTGATTATTTTTTTCGTTTACAAAGATAATCCAAAAAAATCATGTTACATGATCTTTTAATTTTAAGGTTATTGTTAAGGACAAAATTTCGGTAATCGAATTTTCTTGGCTCTGTAATATCTTATGCATCACTATATTCTGAAAAAATTACTACTTATTGTAGTCAGTAGGCAACATGCCGCGAAAATCATATATGAGTTCTGGAACTAGACAATTTTGTCCTTTGTTCATTGGTTGTAGTTTGAATAGTTAGTAGGAGACTTTGTTTGTGGAGTCATTTTTGGAAGAAAAAAATAGTGATTTCAGATTTTGTTTATGCAATTTTATGTCACAGAGGCTTATTGCACGATGCTCTTACTTAACTTGCTAAGTCTGGTATGAATTCTTTTTGTTCCACATAGCCTCAAAGTTCTAAGACCATTTATATAAATTGTTATTTCATTGATATGGAATGAACCATAGCAATTAGTATAGTTTACCTATAGTGAATCTTTGTACTTAATAGCATCTATTATGTTCAAAGTAAATCTCTGGCAGATATTATATATGGCCGGCTCACATAGCAGTATGATACATCCTAATAATGATTGTACGTACCTTTCTATCGCGCTGCGAAAATTATATATATGAGTTCCAGTCAAGTCGTCAAGTTGTCAAGTTACTAACATGAGGTATATATACCGATCCAACGGTGTCCTTCATCTGAGATGTTGCACATTTTATTTAAGTCTATATAGATACTAACATTGGAATCATAATTTTAAATAACTCCAAATAGGCAAAGTACAATCATACATAGTATCACAGTAGAAGCTTTCATTGATTATCACTTCACCAATAATAAGCTTTTTAAGCAAGTACGTGTTAAATTAATAGATTGTTATTTTATTGATATGGAACGAATCGTAGCAATTAGTATGGTTCACATATAGTGAATCTTTGTACTTAATAACATCCATTATGTTCAAAGTAAATCTCTTGCAGATGTTATATATGGTCGTCTCACATAGCAATATGATACATCCTAATAATGAATGTACTTTTCTAGGGTAATCGTATACATGCCTCAATAGGAAAGTATGTAATTAAGTTCTTTAGGACCAAGTTACAAGAACTCGCCTTATATCGCATGAACTTCTTTGTTGTCGGGCCAAATAACTTGAAAACTACGACATACAATCTGAGGCTGACATTTACACAGAGGACAGTGTGAGCGCTACTGTGTTAAAACACAAAATCAGAAAAAACTGTTAGAAAAATAAAAGAAACTGGAAAAAACAGAAGAGTTTAAGAAATATTCCGAGTCTACAATTTGCTTGTGTGTCCTTAAGGAATTTTAACCCCCTCACACGTTGCCAAGGTAATGGATTAAATCCTCCCAGGATAAAACAGAATAAACCTTCCTGCAACAGTGGCAATACAAACTGCAGGATACTAACGAACTTAAAGAACGGAGCAAAATCACACTTACGAATTTGAGAGAGAGAGAGACTGCGAATTAGGATGCAGTATATTCAGAAAGAAAGAAGTTCTGGAGTGTTTTTAGTGTGTAGAAAATGGAGCCTTGCCTTAGAATTTATAGGCAATTATCAGAAGAGGTGTCTGGAAAAGGTGCCATTTCAGAAGAATACGCTGCCTGCCGCGGTTCTACCGCGGTCGCGGCAGAACCGCGGTCAGAGAGGCTCTCTGAATCAGCCTGCCGCGGTTCTACCGCGGTCGCGGCAGAACCGCGGCCAGAGAGGCCCTCTGAACCTTCAGCAGGGTTCTGGCGTATTTTCAGCAGTGAGTTGGCATTTAATTAATTATTAAATAATTAAATAAGTTTTATCCAAAAATAATCTTATCAATCGATCATTTGACAAATCCAAATCCAAAGCCGAAACCGAGCCGAGCGAGCGACGACGACGGCGCGAGGGTTCATTCTCTTCAACTCCTTTTAAGAGCTTTAAGAAGTGATTCTATATATAAGCACACAAATGTGGTTGTCCCTCACCAATGAGGGACAAAGTGCAAGACAAAAGTTCACTTCTTCAAATTTTCAATTTCCCTCCATTTTATTTCCCTCCATTTCCAATTCACACTTCTTCTACTTTAAAGCACAATGGCTTAAAGTCCAACAGACAGTTGTCGAGGTAGCAACTGGCTCTTCCTTTCATATGAAAATCTTTAACCTTTGTCCTTTTGATAAGCACAAGTCAATATCATGTGGATGAGGCAGAATTATTCGGTAATTCTTCACTTCCATTTTATTTTAATATTAGGTATTGTAAACTTTGAGACTAACTTTTATATTTGTAGATGTGATTGGTTAGGTTGTGATCTTGGAGCTGTTCAGACCTACAAGCAAGGAGATAATAAAAGTGTCTTTGTGAATGTTGAACTCGAAGATGAGCAGTAAGTCATTCACAAATACAAACTATACTTTTACAATATAACTACATATATTTTTGTTGATGAACAATTACCTTGAAACATATAGGAGGAACATGATTTCGGCAACCTTATGGGATGAACTTGTAGATGAAATTCAACCTCACTTAAATTAGATGAACCTTTGGTTGTTGTTTTACCTACTTATGAAAGCTCAAAATTTTTGAGGTTTACATATTTTACATCTACATTTGAAATTTAGTTTCAGAAAATTTTATAATTTCAAATTTTTATTTTTATACATAGGTAACTACTCAATGCGTAGCTGTTGGTACGCTTCCAAACTATGGATAAATTCTACTTTGCCGCAATCTATTGAGTTTACATCTAGGTTTGTAAGGGTATAAATGTTGTATTTATTTGTGCAATTCACCTTATACATGCTTTTTACGCATATGTTGTAGAACAATTAATGGAACTCTTTTAGAAGACATGACAGACGACAGTTAACATCAGCAACAATAAAAAGAAAATATCAACAATTTTTTCGATTTTCACTTGGTAGATATATTTGTAGATTCTACCATCATGCATAGGATTAAAGAGCAGTGTATAGAGTTCATATAAATATTATATCTTGGTGTTTATTTTGTTTTAGCAGTTGCTACGAAGCTTAGTTTCGTAGTTGTAGCTTCACGATCCAACCTTAATAAAAGATATTAGGCGCTTGACAATGAATGTTAGATGTAATAGGCAGAAAACACAAGTGAATAAAGCAAACTTATAGGTAACATGTTTGTTAGTCAGTGACAACGATGCAGACAATGTTTTCATTCTTGCTATGCCGTTTCCAAGAGATGTCAAAAGTTTACAAATGCATAAAGGTAGAACCTATTGAACCTGTTGGGCACCTTCAGAGCATCCACACAAAAAAATGCACGAGATTAACATTTTGTTCAGTAACCTGAAGTATTTGGTAAGACTGATATGATATTTCTTGGTTCCCATAGCCTAAAGGGTCTAAGAAGTTGCTCCACTCATTTCAAGTCTTCATAAACTGTTCTTCATAACTCTAATTTTGAACAAACTGTAGTAATTGGTATAATTCACCTATGGTGAATCTTCATATTTAATAATATTCATTTTTTTTTCAAAATATAATTTCTGCATATATCAGATATGGTCAGCTCCCTTACTCTATCATTTGCTTCTCCAAATCTAATAAGCTTTTGAATGTATTTAGATGGCAGCAACACCTGCTGAATACTACCACCAAATGCAAGACAATCATCTAGGTTTATGATGAATCCTTCTTCAATGTCCATGTTCATTAGCAGATAGTACTGCAGGGATTCCGCGAACACAAATATGGTTGTTTAAGAGCAACTAAAATCTTGGCAGAGATGAGGAATACATTAGCGCTAATTGTTGTTCTGTGTATCAACTCTTCTAAGGATGGGTCAAGAGAACATGAAAATTTGTGGGTTGCTTTTGTAAGATAATCTTCCTGACTTTATCCTTTTCACATGATATTTATTAGATTTATTATCTTTGTCTATTAGATAAAGTAAATAAAATTTATATTCTTCTATCCGACAGAAATATGATATTTCACATGGCAACCAGTTACGCTGCTTCCTTAGCTCAGATGACTTGGATGGGGTATTTGTTCCTGAACCTTATATGACTGAACTTTGAGGTACTTTCGTAGGATAGCTGGTTACTAACATCTTTCTCCTTGATGCAAGTAATTATTTACATGTGTTGAATTGAGCAGCTGGAGCAATTCATCCAAGATCTAGCGTCTAAACATATTATTTCTCACATGGAGCAAAAATTTATCTTCTCAATCACCAAGGCAAGACAATCAACTACATTCATGATGAATCCTTCTCCAACATCCAGGTTCATTAGGAGATGATACTGTAGGGACTCCACGGACACACAGAGGTGCAAACAAAAATTCGTAAATTTCTCTATTCAAGGTTTATTCTCTTCAACTCTTGGAATGAGGTGA